GCTCAGTGGTTTTGCCACCTGCTGCGCAAGCGCAAGGACCCAAGTTCAATACCCAGTACAAAAAAAATTAAAAAAAAAAAAATATATATATATATATATATATAATCAGTATTTTAGAGATGAAGGAAAGGAAGCTGAGAAATGACAATGCCTTGCTGGTAAACAATAGGTAATTAGATGGGTAAAGCCTGCTTCTCTATGGAGTTTGCTTCCTTTCTATTATAGTTAACAGCTGGACTTCCACATAACTAGCACTTGCTGGGAAAATATTTGCTTTCTTATACAAAAGGGTAGCTTTTATACATTTCTTTAAATTGCATTATTCTTTTTTTTTTTTTTTTTTTTTGGTACCGGGGATCGAACTCAGGTCCTTGCGCTTGCAGGGCAGGTGGCGTAAATTGCATTATTCTATTTGTCTTCTGAAGGGTAAAATTTCAGAGTAAATTTCCCAGGTATCTCTTAGAATAGCCAGGATAGAGACATTCATCAAAATGTTAATAATAATTACTTACTCCTAAGTAGTAGTTACCCTCTCCTAAGAGGGGAGATTCTAGATAATTTTAGTTTTCTTTTTTTTTTTTTGGTACCGGGGATCGAACTCAGGACCTTGCACTTGTGAGGCAGGTGGCGCCACCACTGAGCTAAATCCCTGGCCCAATTTTCTTCTTTTTTTAAAAAAAATGTTTATTAGTTCATGTTTGTAATACATAATGACTACATTCATCATGGGGAGTTGGTACATGTACATAATACATCAACTGTTTTTATGTCCAAATTTCCTTCTTTAAACTTGTTAAAAATAAAATGCTTGGGCCAGGTGTGGTGATATATGCCTATAATCTCAGCTACATGGGAACCTAAAGCTGGAGAATGGCAAGTTCAAGTTCAGCCTGAGCAACTAAACAAGACTCAGCCTCAAAATAAAACTTTAAAAAGCCAGGGCAGGAGGATCATGAGTTTGAGGCCATCCTGGGCTAAAGTGAGTTTGAAGCCAAAATGATCTACACAGTGAGATCGTGCCCCCAAAAAACAGGACTGGGGATGTAGCTCAGTGGCTAGCATGAGGCCCTGTATTCAATTCATAGTACTTGGGCCAGGGATTTAGCTCAGTGGTGCCACCACCTGCCTCGCAAGTGCAAGGTCCCGAGTTTGATCCCCGGTACCTGACTAGCACGTGTAACCTGGGTTCTATCCCCAACTCTGGGGAAGGGAGAGGGAGCTTCATCTTCTCTAATAATCCAGGCTAAAAACTGTCATTGTATCCCCCACTGCATTGTACATAGTAGGCCATCAGTAGCAGGTGCTAAATAAATCAGATTCTTAAACTTGTCACATTTGTGTACTTTTCACTTATTAATTCCATCCTCTCTCTGCCACCCCACCCCATCCCTCTCTGCTCTGGATCAAACCTAGAACCTCACACATGTTGGAGAAGTACCCTACTATTGAGCTATATCTCCAGCCCTTTATTTTGAGATAGGGCCTTGCTAAGTTGTCCGAGCTGGCCTCAAAATTGTGATTTTCCTGCTTCAGGTCTCTGAGTGGCTGGGATTATAACATACACCACTACACCCAGCCTTAATACCTTTAAGTAAATTTATTTATTTTTTAGTACCAGGCATTGAACTCAGGACCTTGTGCTTGCAAGGCAGGAGTGGCACCATTGGGCCAAATCCCCTGCCCCTTTATCTTGTTTTCGCTGACTTTTTTTTTTTTTTTTTTGGTACCGGGGATTGAATTCAGGTCCTTGCGCTTGCAGGGCATGTAGCGGAACCACTGACCTAAATCCCCAGCCCTTTATCTTGTTTTTGAAACAGGGTTTAAGTATATAGTTCAGGTGGGCCTTGAACTGGCAGTGATCCGCCTGCCTCAGCCTCTGGAATACTGGGATTACAAGCAAGTGCCAGTACACCTGGCATAAATTCACTTTTTAAAGCATTCCAAATAATAATGTATGTGAAATCATGTTTGATATGCTAATTTCATCTTTTTCCTTATGTATGTTAATAGACATGTAACTATTCAAATTTAAAATACTGTCAGGCTACATAAAATCATCTCATCAGTGGTACACACAATGGAAAGCAATACTTTCTACGGAGTGGAAAGTTAATTGTTGTTGAGTCACTCTTGTCATCTCTTAACTTCCCTAACATCAATCACCAAGTACTTTAAAATAATACATCCTTAATAATGATTTTTGCACTTATTCTGACCTCGAATTCTAGTGTAAGCCCTCATTATTTTCTGCTTGAGGCCCTGGAAGTCTCCCTGCCTACAATCTTTGCTCAGTCTTCTGAAAACAAGAACTGCTTTTACCCAAATCGATCTCAACCCTCCAGGCCACTGGAAACAACCACTTTATGTCTTTAGGAAAATGTATTCTACAAACTGGACCTGGCCTACCTTCCTATTCCCATGTGTGCAAATCCATTTTTTTTTGTTGTTTTTTTTTAATTTTTTTTTTGCAAATCCATTTAATCACTAATTTCAGAGCAGGAATTATTTTGTCTCCCTGGCTTTATTCATTCCTTATCTTCATCCCAAAAATCCTATCCCCAAGCCAAACTTCTGCCTAGTTCATACATCTTCTAAGAAACTTATTTGAAATAAAGAGATATACTGTACTACAAAAAAAAAAGAAACCTATTTGACTATTAAATCTGTATCAGTACTTGAATTTCCAAAAGCTACACTATTTCAGGCACTTACCATATTTACTACACTATACCTAAAACATGGGCATTTGCTCATTAGTGTGGGCTACATCTAATGTATCTATCATATAACTTGCATGTAGATGCTAAAATATTTATAGTTAATGAAATAAAGCAACCTCTTCAAGAAGCCAGCATAAGAAATCAAATCCCATTCAACACACTACCAATGACCAGCCAATTATTATGTTGTTTGTTTGTTTGTTTGTTTTTTGGTACTGGGGATCGAACTTGGGTCCTTGTACTTGCGCAGCAGGTAGTGAAACCACTGAATCCCCAGCCCAAGCCAATTATTTTTGTAGTCAAAGAAAACTGTCTTCATAGATATTTTCATTACACTGCTTGAAATTAGTAGATCACTAGCTGATCACTAGCTAATATCTAGGTTTAACTATAATGTAACCCACCCTATATGTGGATGCTAAACTTGCATGAATCTCCAGTGTTATCACTGAATTAGTGAATTACCTTTTTTGGATTGCAGTTCTCCTATCTATAAAAATGACCTTAAAATCTATTTTCAAGCTTTAAATTCTATTATTTTTGTGCAGACCAAAGTGGCTTTTATTCAAATATCCCATCTAGCAGGATAATGCCACTTAAAAATAACCCTGTACAATGCTACCTAATTCCTCCACAGAATTTTGTTTCATATAGATATTTAGAATAGGCTAGGCACTTTACTAGATTATCTTTTGAGTCAAAAGAGATGCTCAAATGATAATCATTATTTTCTGGTACTTAAAATATAGAGTATATTTTACATATTTTATTTAAATCGCACAACCCTAAAAGGTGGGGATCTTTAGCACAGTATTTCCCAACAAGAAGATATCTTGCCCCCTTACCCACACACACTTCATGGACATCTGGTGTTATCTGGAGATAATTATGGTTTTTTGGGGTTTTTTTGGTACCGGGGATCGAACTTGGGACCTTGTGCTTGTGAAGCAGCCACTGGAACCACTGAGCTGAATCTCTGGCCCAACAATTATGGTTTTTATGGGGGGAATCAGAGGAATTGTCACTGGTCTCTAGTGCAGACAGGCCAATGATGCTGCTAAATAGCCTCTTACATACCAGATATCTTCCACAACAAGAAAATTGCCCAGGTTGAGAAACTTTTCCAGCCTCATGTTCCAGCTAAGAAATGAAAGATTTAGCAAGCTTAACTTACTTACTCAGAGCCATACAGATGATAAATGAACAGATCTAAAATCATCTCTGTACGTCAACAAAGCCATCTCCATACCAGCACAGACACAAACATTGGTGATGGCTTCTGCTGAAGTTTGTATTATTTGACATTATTGCCCTCTTTCTTCCAACTGCTCTTGGTACTTTAAATGTCACCAGTAAGCATCAGCAGGCCTCATCCAGGAAAGGATTCAGAAGCAGCGCTCTCAGACTTTCAGGTCAGATTTAAGAACACCTTCTTTGTGCTCCCATGTGCCCAGTATCTAAAGCTTCCCAGCGCAATTCCACATAAGTGGACTTGTGTGACTGTGTTCCCTTTACACTACAAGTTTGTGAAGGTTTGCATCTTTACTTTTGTATTCCTAATGCCAAGCTAAGTATCTCTTCACAGAGGACACATTTCCTAAATACATGTTAAACAAATAAAACTGACTAAATTATATAATATACCAAAGGGCACACAGCTACAAAAAGACAGAACCAGGACTGAAATCCAAGTCTCTCCATTGACAAGGCTGATAATTGCTATCTCACAGAAGCTAAAAATTAGATGTTTATCTTTTCTTTTATCTTGCCTGTGAGAATTCTTTGATCATAAACATATCAGGAATATATACATAGCTTATTATCATATGAATTTACCTATCTTACAAGAACTTCCAATTTTAATATGTACATTCTGTAAAATCTTGCCAGCTAGCTAGTAATCTTTACCAAATATCAGAACTATACTGGAGCCACGTTGTTTTTATTTGGTAGTCTCCCTGAATTAGACAATCACTGCTTAGAAATTGGCGTTACAGGGGGCCAGGGATTTAGCTTAGTGGTGCCACACCTGCCTGGCTCAAGGTCCTGAGTTCAATTCCCAGTACAAGAAAAAAAAAAAAAAGAGAGAAAAAAGAAATTGGCATTATTATGAGTTGTCACAGACACTGTCTAAAAACTAAGACAGGGCTGAGGATTTAGCTCAGTGGTTCTGCCGCTTGCCTCTCAAATTCAAGGTCCCGAGTTCAATCCCCGGCACCAAAAAAAAAAAAAACAACCAAAAAAACTAAGACAGAGTCTCTTAGGAAAAGAAGAACTCACTTTAACTTTAGCTTTTATTTCTTCACTGTCCCCTTCTCCATCACTGCGGGGTTCCATGCCAGATTCCTCCTGGATGTCTTTGTTAGGTACTGAGTACTCTTCTAGTAGGGTGTCAAACAAAACTATTCGCTTGTTCTTGAAGAAGCCATAAAAATAAGCATTGCTGTGGGAAGAGCGTTTAGATCCTAAGGAAAAGACAGTTTAAAGCATGGAATATAATTAAAAAGTTTGGGGTCCTTTGGAGAGACTCTTAGAAATTGAACTACTGGGAAGGTCATTAACATTTTGAAATTATTTCATACCTGAAAAGAAATTGTATCAATATAAATCACCACGAACAGTGGAGTGTGTGCTTCCCTGCATTCCTGTCAACAAATACTTAATGATTATCACAGATATTTTACCTATTGCTATAAAGCTATAGGTAAAATAAGCCTAATGACTGTAGAATGATTAAATCATGGTAAAGCTATTAAGTGGAATTTTAAGCAGTCAGAAAAAATTACACTTTCAAAGAATTTTAACAAGATAAAGAACATTAATATATTGCAAAGGATACAAAACTTATGAGGTTCCAGAATTGTTAAGAAAAAAATGTAAATAGAAAAGCATCAACACAAGCTTATGAGGAAATATACCAAAATACTGAAGTGTTTATCACTGGGTTCCAGAATGGATTTTTATTTCCTCTTTTATTTTTCTCTTTTCTAAGGTTTTTTAAAATAGGCATACTTATTTTTATAATTAGAAAAACATTAACCACTTACCAGTCCAATTATTTAAATATAGGATGAGCAAAAATTGCATTTTTTCATTAATTTTTATATGATAATAGGAAATATAAAAATGACAATTTAATCAAATTTATTCAATACAAGAATCGACTGGTTGAAATGACACCTGTCCAAGGAACACTCAGGATAGTCAGTATGTAAACAAATTCACTGCTCGAGTGATAAACTGCTCAGGGTAAACCGTTAAGTGATTAAAGTTATCTTTCTAAAGACTGAAAGAAAACACCTAAATTTTTAACAATGGCTAACAGTAGCTGAACTACGGTTGTTTTTCTTTCCTCCTGTATATATTTCTTTAATTTCCAAATGTCCTTCAATGTGCAGAGTTTAGTTGTTAAGAGCATAGACTTTGGGTTCAAATCTTGGCTTTACCATGTATTAGTTGTTGTTACATTTAGAAAACTCTAAGCTTTAGTTTCCTGTTTATGAAGTGAGGCCAACGTCTACCTGATGAGGTATTCTAAGTAGAGCAATTAGTACATTGCCCAATCCACATAAACTAGTATTATATGCTTAAAAGAAAAATGATGAAAGATTTACTCCTCTTGAGAATATGAACTTTGCTTCTACTCATATTACTAATATTAAGAACTTGGCAATATGTTTAGAATATGTAAAGTTTTGATAAATACAAACTTTTATTGACTGATTGATTCACTGATTGCATTATCATATCAGTTTTTGGCTTGGTTGCTTGGAAATTAAGAGTCAAACATATGGTCCAATTTTGTCAATAAGATAGGACTTTAGGCTTTAGAAAATTGTGTTACCATTCTAAGGTCTCACACTTTTAGTGTATCCATCTTCTCTGATCCCAATTTTTAAATTTATTTGAAAATACTTAGAAGCTTTCTGAAGTTATCTCTGGAAGTAGGCAGACTGTATGCAAATAAATACAATCCATCTTCCACTGATCAAGGCATCTCAAAGTATGGCTCAAGGAATACCTACACCAAAATCACCTGGGGTGCTTGTCAGAAACAAATATAGGAAATACCTACTAAGTCAGAATTTCTAGGAGTGGAGGCCGGGAGCCTGTCTTTTAACAAAGTCTCTAGTGACGCCAGGCGTGGTGGTGCATGCCTATAATCCCAGCACTCGGGAGGCTGAGGCAGGAGGATTGCTGGAAGTTCGAGGCCAGCCTGGGATACAAAGTGAGTTCAGGGCTAGCCTGAACTACAAAGGGAGACCCTGACTAACCCCCTGCCCCCCCCCCGCCAAAAACCCCCCAAAAACAACTCTCTGGTGAATTCTTAAAAAGTTTAAGAGTCCCTGTGATAGACTGCAAATTTTTTTTTTTTTTTTTTTTTGGTACCAGGGATTGAACTCAGGACCTTGCGCTTGTGAGGCAGGCACCAGAACCACTGAGCTAAATCCCCAGCCCCTACAAAATTTTTGTATTGCTATGCCTGGCATAGAGTATATCTGCAATAATGTTTGTTTATTGAAGGGGCTAATGATATCACTTGAAAAGTAATGTATTTGAGAACTCTGAAAATCAAAACATTCCATGCAAATATAAGCCACTGACACCTCTGTCTTAATCCTTTGCCTATGATGTCTCACCTTAACCTCTAGGCAACATTTAACATGGGAAACCCCTTCCTCCTGGAAACACTTTCTTCCTGCTTTTTTTTTTTTTTTTCTTGGTACCGGGGATCGAACTCGGGTCCTTACACTTGCGAGGCAGGCGGTGGAACCACTGAGCTAAATCCCTGGCCCTTCTTCCTGCTTTTGAGACATCATTTTCTCCTGGTCTTACTACCTCAATGTTCTCTTCTTCTGCCTCCTTTGCTGGCTGTTCCTCCCTCGCAGACTCTCATCCTGGGCCCTTTCTCCTCTCTAATTCCCTCATCCATGGCCTTAAACTTCATCTGCATGCCAAATAGTTCCACTCTATATTCCTCACCTTGACTCATCCCTAAAACTCCACACTCATATATCCAGTTGCCTGTCTGATATCTCCACATGGATGTCTACAGATGTATTTATTGTTTGTATTCTTATGTACTTTTTTCCTGTCCAACATTGGAATCTCCTTTTGGAGTCTGGAGAATTTCACACCGTGTAAGTTTTGTGAGAGATCACTTCTCTTTGAGAAACCTAAGAAGCCAGGCATTTGCTTCCCCTGCACTCCTGGCAGCTAGCCTCATGGCCTGGCTGGATCAGTCAGATACATCTACTGAGTAGTCAGTAATTACACAAAGAAGCAACACAGTGAAGAACTAATTACAGGTGCTAGTGACAGTAACAAGAGAGGTATGAACCCCTGAATCCACTGTTCTGAGGTGGCAACTTAATGTGTTCCCCAGACTGGTTTGGCAGTATTATTGAGTTCCTAACCTATGTAATGATCCATTTTACAAGGTTGGTAAACTTCCTGGAGATTTTGTAAACTACCACATGTTTCATAAGCAAATTTTCTGCTCAAATGAGCCACTGCTAGTTGTTACTGCTTGCAAACTGTGACTAATAACAATATATTTTTTAAAAATCTTAATATGCAGAACACTTTTCCACAAACTTGCACTTCTCCCATTTTTTCCCTCTCAATAAACTAATCATTTACCCAACTGCTCACATCAAAAATCTAGGCAGTTATCTTTGATGCTCTTTTTGTTATTTCCTGAAATGCAATTTATTATGATTCCATCAACTCTACCTCTAAAACCTATCCCAAATGCAATCACTTCTCTCCAGCAATTACTGCTGTCCTAGCCAAAGAAGCCATTATTTCCTACATGGACTACTGCAATAGCCTCCTGACTGCTCTCTCTTCTTCCACTCTTGCTTCATCACTCCCTATATAGCATCCCAAGATAGTTTAAAAGTACAAGCTACACTGTGTCATTTTCTACTTTCAATGGTTTCTCCTACTGAATTTAAAATCCAAACCCCTTGGCCTGACTTACCCAGGCCTTTATGGTCTGATTCTTGTCTAGGATTTTATCTCATAATACTGTACTGTCCTGCTTTGCTGCAGCCACACTGGGCTTCTTCACAGTTCTCGAAGACACTAAGCTTGAGAAGGTCTTCCCGTGGATCTCGATGTATATGGCTCCTACCTTCAGGTCTGAGCTTAACAGTCATTTGCTCAGATAAGTCTTCTCTGATAGCCCAATCTAAAGCCATCCCATCACACTAGTTTAATTTTCTGCACAGCACCTGCTATCTGATATTTTTTAAGAGTAGGATTCCTGGCGTTTCATTGTAATGTCCCTGTTAATTTATGATTCTATAGTGTGTGCTATCTTATTAGTATCATTTATTCATTCAAAATATTTTTGAGGAGTTACTATGGTTAATAACAAGAAAAAGATGTGTTACAGATGAATAAACTGCTATTTAGCAAAAGTAAGGTTGCCCAAAGACAGATAATTGATGATAGAGCTAGGATTCAAACCCAAGCCTACAGACTTCAAAACCTGACTACAGAAATGCTACCTTCAACCCACTCAAATCCTGATTTTCCATAAAGTCTCAGCTCATTTCATAACCCTCCAGAAAGCCTTCCCTAAGTATTTCCTCTACAATGGAAAACAGCACTGATATATCATCAAGCACATATTTTATCGATTACCTCCATTGACCTCCATTAGCTACTGCTTCATGATACCTGAATATAATTTAAGTGATCAACAATTTAGAGCCCCTTTAGTAAAAGCCCCTCAGAGTCTGTTCTACTGCATTAGTGTGCCACTACTTTAATATTATCCAAAAATACAGTGGTTTCAGAGGCTAAGAAAATATGAAGTGGCTTATTCTTTTACCATTTCCCCCACAGAATCTTAAGCTGTTCTGATTGTGCCTTTAGTTGTCTGTATAGCCTCAGAAACCACTAAATGTCTGTCTGAGACATCTATATTCTTCTAATTGCTATTAATTCACTCTTTTCAGTTGAGACCATCTTTATTCTCCCCTCACTCTGCAACTGCATCTCAGTTTCTTCTCCTTCATCTAATGTAGCTGCTTCTCACTGGTGATATTTATAACAGGTGTCAGCAAACTATGACTTGCCATCACAGTGCTTATTTTTATAGTTGTATTTGGAATAGAGCCATGTTCATGTGTTTATGCATTGTTTGTAGTTTCTTTTGCACTACAACAGCAAAGCTGTATAGCCTTAAATATTTACTATCTAGCTTTTTATAGAAAATATTTGCCAAACTGTAGTTTAGAGAAAGTGCAACTGAAACCCAGAGGGCTGATCGGTCCGAGATCCCATAGCTAGTAAGTTGCAGAGGTAGAATCAAATATATTCATTTGTATAGATTTTAGGTTACAGATTTTCAGTCATTGTACCTTACAAAACAGTCTTTCTCTACATCTTTGTAGGCTTCCTTGAGGCTTTATTAGTCTTATGTAAACTTAACTCTCAAAGGCAGTTATCAGAAAAGCAGAGTATAACTAACCTGAAGTACTTGATGCTACTTACAGTTTTTGATAGTCTACAGTTAAACAGTCCTCCAGAACACTAGATGTTTGTTGGAGGAGACAATGTCAATAGTGTTGGTTTTGTTTTTGTTTTAGACCCTCCAAACTTGTGCTAAATGAAATTTGACTATTCAAGAGTCCATCTCAATTACCTAAAGGAGCCATGCGGGTAACAAAAGTGAATAAATCAGTTTCATATACAAAATAATACAACAGAGTGTGAAAAAGGCTTGGCCAAAGATTAAAAATAATACTGTAAAGTTAATCAAACATAGCTTTAGGCAAGAATAGGATTTGGCATCGGGCCACCAGTTTCTATCCCTGGACTGTATCTCCAATTTCTATAAACCTTAAAAAGCCAAAATATAAAATACTATCCTAACATCTAAATAACAAATTTAAAAAGAAAACAATAAAAACTGACCTGTTATTCCATTAAAAATTTAAGAATAAAGTCTCAAAACAAGCCCCTTGGAATAAAACCTTATCCCCAAATAGCCTTACCTTCAACAACATACACCTTAGTCAAAGGAAAATCAATATTCTTTGCCATTACTTCAATTTCTTGTTTAAGCTTTCCCTCAGGCAGAGGTGTGAATTTGTCAAATAAAGGGGCAATATAATCAGCATAGATTGTGACAAGAACCTGAAAAGTAAATGTTGGAACAACCTATGAATACATTCTTGATGAAAAACTACTCATTATTTCTCAGATTCAATTGTGTTGAAATAACTGCATCCATCCTAAACTTGAAAACACAGAACTTACTTGCTCTGGTATTCCCAGACCCAAATAGTCCCAGACAGTAAGAGCTTAGTATCTGTTTGATAAATTAAGTCAAAGTAAGAGTCTGACAAAACAGTACACCTGTCAATTTTATCTTAGAAAATAAAACTGTACTACTAACAGTGATTAAGATCTCTGGGTGGTAACGGTCCTTTCAATACTGTCTTCCTGGCACTTTATAAGCCAATTATAAATTGTAATTCTGACTTTTAGAGTAATTATAATAGACTTGAAGTCTTTACTATATAAGCATTACAAGAGTTTGACTGTATGTATGTTTCTTTCTTTTTTTTTTTTTTGGTACTAGGGATCAAACTCAGGACCTTGCACTTGCAAGGCAGGCTCAGGCACCACTGAGCTAAATCCCCAGCCCGATATGTATTTGGGGGGGGGGTACTGGGGATCAAACCTGGGTCCTTGCAGTTGTGAGGCAGGCAGCATAACCACTGAGCTAAATCCTCAGCCTTGTATGTATGTTTTTATTAGAACTATTAATTGGTTGGTAAAATTACCTGCAATTCATAACTGTATACCCTAGTTGAAACAGCATCCTCTTTCCTCTTACTTCAGTTTTCTGTACAACAGACATTTGTAAATCCAACTAGCACCCATTCCCAAATCTTGATCCCAGGGCTAGGGATTTAGCTCAGTGGTTCTGCTGCTTGCCTTGCAAGCACAAGGACCCGAGTTCGATCCCTAGTACCAAAAAACAAAACAAAACAAAACAAAAAACCAAATCTTGATCCCACCAGTAGGAAGTAGAGCAATGAGTATCAAGTAATTCAGATTAAAATAAATCTCATTATCAGTGTTATTGGACTGATGTTTTGAGGACTGATTGTGTTGGAAGCAGCTTAAAATATGAGAAAGAGAGAAGGAAAAGATGTGAAGGCTAGGAATACAGCTCACGGGTAGTGTTTGCCTCAGATGTGTGAAGCCCTGGTTCAATCCCCAGCATTGAGGAGAAGGAGAAGGAGGAGGAGGAGGAAGAGGAGGAGGAGGAGGAAAAGAAGGAGGAGAAGGAAAAGGAGGACTAGAAGAAGAAAGGAGAAGAAAAGGGGAAGAAGGAAAAGCAAAAGGAGAAGAAAAGGAGAAGAAAAGGAGAAGGGGAAGGAGAAGGGGAAGAAGAGAAAGAGAAAGAGAAGAAGGGAAAAAAGAGGTAGAAGAAGGAGAAAGAGAAGGAAAGAAGAGAAGGAGACAGAAAATGTGAAGGAGGAAAAAGGAGGAGAAAAGATTGAAAAGAAGAGGGAGAAGAGAGAGGAAGAGAGGAGGTGGCAATGGGGAAGAAAAGGAAATAAAAGGCTAAAGAATAGGTAAAAGAGGGCTGGGGATTTAGCTCAGTGGTGCCACTGCCTGCCTCGCAAGCTCAAGGTCCTGAGTTCGATCCCTGGTACCAAAAACAAAACAAAACAAAGAATAGGTAAAAGAAGGAAGGAAACAGAAAAGGGATAAGAAAGGAGGAAAAGGAGAAGGGAAGGCAGAGGAGAGCAAAAACAAGCCAGTTAAGTGTATGCTTTCTTTTTCTTGTCGCTCTTAAATCTCTATTCAAAACATTCATGCTTTTTAATGTACTGGAGGTCATTTAAGAGTCATAAAATTATCACATTCAGTTATCCATTTGGTGGCAACACATAAATATACAGCCTGAAAACACCTAGCAACTGGATCATTAAAAGTGACCAACAACTATTTTCTACACTCTATAAAAGTTAGCATCAAGAGAGGAAAATTTATGAGTCAGTCGGTTCTCTTGTATCTATACCCAAAAGCAGAAACCAAGAGGAAAATTTACGAGTACATCTTTACAGTTCATCCTCTTCTTAAGAGTTGTTTACATACTAATGAGGATTAAATCACAGTAATCAAGAAACCTTTGTAAAACATAATGAAGATTTTACTCACCAGAGAAACAACTAATGTGAACAGCCAGGCATAAATAAAAAAATAGTCACCCCCAATTTTAATAATGTAAAGCAGAAGTGAAGACACAGGCAATAAAATACACTGAGTCACAAGAAATTTCTTAATTGCATCTTTCATAAAAAAGTCCAAAGTCTGAAAAAAGAAAACATTGCCATGAGAAACTGAGAAACTGGTTTTCCTTTTTAAATAAATAGTAAGTGAATAAAAAGAATGTATTATTAGAGCAATTTAAAAAATTAACATGCAGTGGGACTGTATTATATGATGGTAGGTAGATTGGAAAATAAGTAAATGCTTGTATTTTATAGTTTGAAATAAATTCGTTTAAAAGTATTGCTTAAAAAAAAAAGCATTAGTGCTCAAAGAGTTTATAGCAAGACTTTAAACCATGATCTTTACCATATCTGTAGTTCCTTCTTTCTCAATCAATTCATGTTCTGAAGTAGCAAATTATTACCAGCCCAGAAGCAAAGAAAATCTTCACATTAAAAAAAAAAATTATATTCTCTGTTTTACCTGATGATTGAAACCATGCTTTTCTTCTATCACAAATGTATTATAAAGACTCCATGGCAAACCAGTTAATGCACTGAAAAGTGTAGCCAGCAGCAGAAACACCAAGGAGTGAATGATCTAAACACAAGAAGAAAAGAAGATGACAGTTTTTATGATGTAACATAATTCACTCGTCAGATTAACTACTGGGGAACAACTCAATAAGGATTTCCTGAATACTTATCCTAAATAAGGAATGTGCTTGATCCCATGGGTGACAGAAGGTCTGCCAGTATCCCTGCCTTCAGAAAAAGTTTACTTGCAAGGAAAAGAGTAAAAAATGAATAAAACAATCCTCTTTATTACACAGGCCTTGTATGAAAGTTATCTTAGGTCACACAGATAAAGCAGTTAAAAGAATTCAGAAAAGAGACAGCAGAACTTGGTGAATTCAAGGAAGGCTTAAGAGGTGATGAGACTTGGGATGCCACTTTGGAGAAAGCGAAATTACTGAGATAGGAAAGAAGAGGAAATGAAGAATTTCAAGAAATTTTCAAAAGTTTGGAGAGAAAAGAGCACCCAAAATGTGGAAGACAATAAAATGACACACCTGGTTGGGACCAGGAAAAGAAAATAGGGACTCCAAAAAGTTGAATCAAGCCAGATGGGGTAGGGTACACTCAATTTTTCATAAAAAGCCAAAAATTTGATAGAGAAAATTATCTTCAAGAATTACTTTAACTGCCCCGGGCACGACGGCCTCCTCCCTGGGCATCGGCCTTGGACTCAGCCTCGGCCTTTGAGGGCTGGGGACCTGGGGTTCGTGCTTGGCACCTCCGGGCAGCACAGGCATCGGAGCTCCCAGAACTTCGCCGCCAGATGTGGAGGACTCATACCCTCAGGATCACCACGACGGGAGGAGCAATGGAACCCTGTGAATCCCCCACCTCTCCTCGGCCGGGCAACACCTCTGCAACCCCGCGCTGCCCTACTTTCCGCCACCGTACCAGCAGCTGGGATACTCACAGTCGGCCGACCCCCTACTCGCATCTGGGAAAAGCCGCTGCCATCAACCCACTGCATCAGCCGGCGCCCACCAGCAGTCAGCAGCAGAGATGGCCAGGCCACCAGGGCCAGGAGGGGCCAGCCTGCCCTTGCACCATGGCCGCCCCGCTGGCCTGCTCCCCCAACTTGCAGGGCTGGACTGGAGTTCGGTGAGCTCCGGTAGGAACGCCTACCGCCGCTCAGACCTACTGCTGCCCCATGCGCACTCCCTGGAGGCTGCGGGCCTGGCGGACAACCTGGGGCTCCATGACATGGCTTACCCGTTGGACGAGGTGCAGAATGTCTGCGATCAGCACCCGCTTCTGCACGATCAGACTAATTCGAAAAGGTCCCGTCACGATGACCAAGAACCCCCTGAACCTTCCCTGCAAGAAGGACCCGGTGGGAGCCGTGATGAACCCAAGCGAGGTCTTCTGCCCGGTCCCTGGAAGACTGTCTCTCCTCAGCTCCACTTCTAAATATAAAGTGACGGTGGCTGAAGTCCAGAGGTGACTGTTAACGCCTGAATGCTTGAATGACTCCCTCTTGGGTGGGGTTCTCAGAAAAACTAAATCCAAAAACAGAGGCCTCTTGTTTGCAGGAGAAGCTGGATAAGATAGGATTGAATCTTCCAGCAGGAAGACTCAAAGCTCCGCATGTGACACTCCTGACTTCCACTTCCTCGTGGAAGGCGAAGTGGTTCACTCGGCCGGTGACTTTGCTAATGTCTGTGAAGCTGAGTTTCCTAGCAAACTGGTGGCCGAGTATTTAACCAGACTTCATCTTAGAGGATGGAATGAGATTGCAAATAGGAAGAATATGCTTCTGGCTGTACAGCAAGTGTGCAAGGAGTTCACGGACCTCCTTCATCAAGACCGGACCCCCAACCAGAACAACAGGCCCATCCGGGTCTTGGAGGCGAACATCCAGTATGCTTGTCTCATTTCAGCCTGATTACCCTCAGCTTCGGCAGCCAGGCCATCTGCACTGCTCTGTCTGCAGTACAGAACTACATCAAAGAAGCCCTGATTATGATAGACAAGTCCTATATGAGCCCTGGAGACCAGAGACCAGAGGATTCTAACAAGGCTCTGGAGAAAATGGAGAAGCGACGCAAGTGGCAGTGAGTGAACAGAGGGCAGGAGAGTTGGGAAAGGAAAGGACTAGAAGATTGATCCTTCTCTACTCCGGACAGTCTGTGGAGCCCTTGCACCTGGGGAAGAAGAGGTTACCACCTACCTGATCTATGCCTAGGTCAGGGCCATTCTGATTTTCTCTCCTGGACTCTTTGATTTCTCAAGCATTGAAGTCTCTCACTCTGGACATTAGATCCCAAGGTGACAGGTGCTGGGTTTGGCTTTTGTTACATATTAAGCATTTATACTTTGGAACCCCAATCACCCTTTCCCTCAAAGTTGTACTACAAGTTTTAAAATCAGTGAACTGCCGGGGGCTCCCAAGAAACCCTACACTTGGCTGTTGTAATGTCAAATTGATGTGACATTAACAGATTGACAGCTTTTTTTTTTCCAGTGTTAAGATGTAATGGCTGGTTTTTGCATCCACTAAATATCTTTAAAAATGAAAATTTATCTAGGTTCTTTGGTGATCACATCCTCCGGTGGGAGGCGGAGGTTCTGTGTGCTTAGCAACTGGTTAACGGGTGGTTTTTGGCATACTTTATACCTCAAGTTCAAAGGGGGCCTTCTGGTTTTAGAAAACTTGTAGAAACAAAGCCTGCTGATTTCATTTTTCTAACTTTGAAAGTTAACTCTTTAAATGGGAAAATCTTGGAAATGGACCTCTTCCTATAAGGTACTAAAGCTTTGTTTGCATATTTATTTCAGATGTTGATTTTTTTTTTTTTTTTTTTTTAGTAAACTTGAAAAGGGTATGCATGAAGCCTGACAGAGCTGCCTGTCACCCCAAGTCCCTGTGGAGCTCTGTTTTTTTTTTTTTTAATTGGTAATCTTTTTTTGGTACCGGAGATTGAACTCGGGACCTTGCGCTTGCAAGGCAGGCGCCGGAACCACTGAGCTAAACCCCTGGGTGTGGAGCTCTATTTTTGAGAAACAGTCTGTTGTGTGTACAGGTTTTATTTAAGCATAATTTAATGGGGTCTGTAAATACTGGTATACTTCGTATGACTTTTTGACAAATGGGATTAGACTTTAATATTAACTTTTAATGGTGATGGGATAATCTATACCATCTTTAGAGTTTATTTATATGTACACAGGGTCTTAAGAATTGAGAAGATACCAGGATTCGCTCTTGGTTTGGAAGATTCTATTTAATGGGAGCTCTCAGAAAGCAATAATTTCCCATCTCATTGCTGAGGACTCAACCCTGAGATTCGAGTGTGGGGAGAGTTTGTGTGGGTGAGGTGTAGACGTGGAACTGAACTCTATTCCTGTAAATGTGCCTCAAATAATTGCTGTGTATGGTACTTATATAATAAAAGTATTCTTGGTAGAATTAAAAAAAAAAAGAATTAGGCAAGGTGGTGAATATCTAAAATCCCAGCTACTTGAGATCCTGCTGCAGGAGGATCAGAAGTTCAGAGGCAGCCTGGGTAACTTGGCAGGACCATCTCAAAATAAATAATGAAAAGGCCTAGGATTCAAACTTTATACCTCAAAAAATTTTAATATCATTTCCTTTAAATGGGCCATTAAGTGATCAAAGGCCAAGAATTGTCTAGTCTCTTTTCCCTGGGACAGTGAAAGAACAGGCCTATTACTAGGAGGGAGATGGGGGCGGGGACAAAGAGCAATGAAGCAGGCTTTTCTCCTGTCCCCTTATCCCACCCTGCCACCACTCCTCTCACCTCACAGTGTAAAACTGAATGCTCTGAAGGTGAAGGTGATATACCACACGCTGCCAAGGTATACTTGATTTGGTAGCAAACAAATGGCCAACATAAGTTTCTAACCACAGGAGGAAAAGAGGGGAAAAGAAAAGGACATTTGTTAGGCTACAGTATGCAGCATGGTTTCTTCCAGCATTTGTTCTCAAACAGGAAATAAGAACAAATTTTAAAAATAGACTCCACGACCTTCCTTGAAACTAGTGAATAAGAATCACTTGTTTTGTTTGCTTTTTGCAGTGCTGAGGAACCCTGGGATTTGTGAATGCTAGATAAGTGCTCTCCGCTAAGACACATCCCCAGCCCTAAGCGGTATTTGAATACCTGCTTTTCTCACTTTACAATATATCGTGAACAACTTTTTATAACAATATATATCTACATCTTCATTGTTAATAGCTCTAGAGTATTCCACTGTATAAAGGCACACAGGTTATTTCCATTAAAGCATTCATTATAATGCTATATCAAACTCCTTTATAAATACATTCCATGTATTCATTCTCCATAAAGTTATAGAAGTGTTTAATGTCAAAGGATATGAATTTTTAAAAGGTATCTGTACTGCCAAGTTGTCCTCAAGAAAAACTACTAGTTTTTATTTGTCAGCAGCGTAAGATTATCTCCCTATCACTCACCAATTCTATCCCATCACTTTTTTCCCTTTCTGATGTGATACCTCAAAAACAGACAAACATATAAACAAAAACCACACAAAAAACTCTAGTATTTCATTGTTGTTTTAAAATATATTTCTATTGGTAGCATGGGCCTTTAATTCTAGCACTTGGGAAGCTGAGACAGAAAGATCAGGAGTTTGAGGCCAGCCTGGGCTACATAGCAAATTCATAGCTAGCCTGAACCACACAGTAAGGTCTTGTCTCAGAAAACCTAAAATAAAACATGTATCTATATCTATCTATCTAACTATATGTATATATATATTTCTTTATTAGAATAGACTTATAATTTTGTGTACTTAATGACTATATGAATTTCTGCCTTTGTATTTTTCCACTTTGTCCATCTTTTTACTGAAGTATTCAACTTTTTCTAGAACATTATTTCTATAAAAAATTCTTTCTATATTAAATTAACTTTTAATTTTATTTAGCAATTTCCCTTGGTCTATAATACGCCTTTTAAATTTGTTGGGTTTTTTTTTTTTTTGAGACAGGGTCTTGTTATATAGTCCAGGGTAGCTTTGAACTCACTATGTAGCCCAGGCTGGCCTTGAACTCCCAGTGATCCTCCGGCCTCAGCCTCATGAGTGCTGGGATAACAGGCATGCACCACCACACCCAGTCTGCTAATGCCAGTTTTAACAAATTTTATCTTCATGGTTTCTACCTTGGCATCTACTTTGGCATTAAGCTAATTATATCAAAAATGTATTGCTTTTTGGGACCAAGGATTTAGACCCGAGTTTGATCCCAGGTATGAAAAAAAAAAAATATATATATATATATATATATATGTGTATGTATTGCTTTTTGTGGTTTTTTTTTTTTTTTTGGTACCAGGGATTGAACTTGGGTCCTTGTGCTTGCGAGGCAGGCAGCGGAACCACTGAGCTAAATCCCCAGCCCTATGTATTGTTTTTTGTATTAGTACATTCAAGGTTTGTTTGTATTTAAATATTCAAGTCACCTGAGATTTTTTTCTTGTAGAAATTCATTTTTACTCAGTTGTCCTAAGAAAATTTACAGTTTACATTTTTATCACTGATCTGTCACCTTTATCATAAGCCAAGATCTTATATATATTTAGGCCTGTTTCTTGTATCAACGCACACTTTAAGCTTTATGATACATTTTAACATCTGACAGTAAAAAATTTCACTTATTACTTATTCAGAATTCTTCTGACCATTCCTTTATCTTTATTCTTTCAGATTCTATAAAACATCTCATCTTGTGCCCCTTACAAGTTAGTCTATTCTTTTTTAAAGTTCATAAATCTATTTTTTAATAATGCATTATATAATTCTGATAAAGCATTAGTCTCAAGTTTAGCACTCTGCCAAAGAACCTACCATTTTCTCCTTTAGAGAATCTAGTTGCCCATTTAGTGTTTTAAAACATCCACCATTCTCTCAAATTTATTAACATATGCCAAAATTTCAAGTTCCTTCTGTACACTATTATGAAAATCATCTATGTTTAGAGACTTGAATTAATTTAAAACAATTTTTTTTCAGTACCAGGGATCAAACCCAGGACCTCGTGCTCGCCAGGCAGGTGCAGCGTCACTGAGCTACATCCCTGGCTGCACAGTTTAAAACAATTTGATTCCTTCTTTTTTTTCTGGTACCAGGGATTGAACTCAGGACCTTGCACTTGCCAGGCAGGTAGGGCACCACTGAACTACATCCCCAGCCCTTTGATTCCTTCTTAGTAACTCACTTTTCTTATACGTAAGTCCTGCTTTAAAATGGTAATTCTATCAACAAATCATTTTACTTGTTTAAAAAAAATGAACAATGAGTCTGCCTTTTTCTTCAATCAACAAACTTATTCCTTTCTAAGATTTTAAGTGCTTTTTAAACTCTTTTGCCTGAATCACTAAAATGGCATCTTTAAAAATTATCTGCCTACAATCAATCACTTTCCTTCCAATCCAACCTACATACACTCCACATTACTTTAAAATTCCACCTGTCTACTGAAAAACTTAAATGGCTCTCTAATACAAGACTTCAAATTCATGACATTTTTAAGTATTTTCATAATCTGGCCCCAAATGCTCCTTTCTACTCCCCTCTCTATGACCCTTCTTCTTTCTTCTTTTTTTTTTTTTTTTCTATATGACCCTTCTACTCCTAACAAGCAACCATGAGCTAGAATTTCCAAAGGTGACTGAATTAAGGAAAGGACAATATTTCAGCTGAAAAAAAGGAATTATGGCAGGAGAGTCACCCTGGGAGAACACAGAATGTACAATTCCAGCACCTTTTCTCAGAAAGTTTCTAAACCAACCCAGAAAGGAGAAAATATCGTAGGAACAAGGTCTACTGGGCAGTGAAGAGAAAGGGTTTTAACCCATTGCTTCTCAAAAAGGTAACAAGATTTGGGCTCTAACATCAAGGCTGGTCAACATCAAGGCTCTGGGCTCTAAATCAAGGCTTGGTCAACATCAAGGCTCTGAGAAACAAAACATTAAAAAGTCTTGCAACCTGAGGAGGGACTCCGAACTACATATCCTGAATAATGGCATGATCTATCCTATGTCTGATACAAACCTAATATATTCATGATGTGTCAACAAAACTCATCAGCATTCTGAGTCACTGAATCAATTACTTGCTAAGAATGGCAGAGCTATATCCCACTGTCCAAAAATAAAGACACTGATGATGAGACCCCTTATTGGTAGTTTGGAAAAGCAGAAAGTTCTGCCAAACAACATACTGCCTATGCCCACTATAAGCTGAGGTCCACCTACTTTTCTTTTTTTAAACATAGAAAAATGGTTTCAGATTATACAAGAAGTACATTCTCATCGCTAAATTTTCTCAAAATAATCAAAATTAAAATTGCCAAATTTCCCCAAGAGAAAATAACTTTTGGCATTTTGGTATATGCTATTCCAGACTTCTTATAGTTGTAGAATATGTGAACAAAGATAAATATATAAGGGTGCACATTTTATGATTAAGAAAAACCATCTTAATTTAAATGTTCATCATTAGGACACGAGTTATATAAAAAAATCTACATGAATGTTCACATATACTTTGTTTTGAGATAGGGTCTTACCCAGGGTGGCTTTAAACTAGCCATTTTCCTCCCTGAGGCTTCCAAGTGCTAGGATTATAGGTTTGTGGCATTGTGCACCCCTCACACATACTTTTGTTATCTTGCCTTATAACCTGACTTTTTTTAATTCAATAAGCTGAATGAAACAACAGCCCAAAGTCAGGCATGGTGGTGCACACCTGTGATCCCAGCACTTGGGAGGCTGACGCAGGAGGATGGCCAAGAGTTCAAGGCCAGCCTGGGCTATATAGTGAGACTCCGTCAGGCCTATAATAGCATTCTGAGATTATAGGAGGATTACAAATTCAGCCCCAGCCTGGGCAACTTAGCAACTTGGCAGGATCTTGTCTCAAAATAAAAAATAAAGGGCCAGGGATTTAGCTCAGTGGTTCCACCGCTTGCCTCGCAAGCTAAGGACCCGAGTTTGATCCCCGGTACCAAAAAAACTTTAAAATTTTTAAAAATTTTTAAAATAAATAAAAAGGGCTGAGGGTGTAGCTCAGTGTGAAGGGCATGGGTTGAATACTCCATACCACAAAAATAAAACAAAACAAAGTGAGAACTACCAGGACCATGCACCTACTGAAGAAACAAAGGGCTATATAAATGACATGAAAAGATTTCTAAAACTTTGCTAAATGCAAAAATCATGACTTAGAACCCTATATAAAATGATTCCATTAAGATAAGGAATACTTTTTATAGGCATATGTATGTAGGTTATGTTTATTCAGTCAATAAAATATACAATGCTGACTCTGTGATGGGCATTGTTCTAGGCATTTCTAGCAGTGAAGAAAATATATGATGTCTCTATTTCCTTAAAGCTTACATTTTTGTCAGGGAGAAAGATTACAAAGTAAGCAAATAAACAACTTATTTGCAGATAGTTGAGCCTTTATTAAAAAAAAAATAATGTGATGTGCCTCACTAAAGTGATAGCCAGATGTTATTTGAGATAGTCAGTCAGGGAAGGCCTCTCTAAGGAAATGATATCTAAGATGAGAATTCAACAAGCAGCTAGCCATGATATACAAGAAACCACCATAAATCATTTCTGAAACAAGGCAGAGAAAATATAAGTAAACTGCCACACCACATATGCAAGTCAGACTGTAGAGTCTGTGCAGATAGATTGCATAGAAAAAGGGTTCTTACAAGTCTTGCTGGTTTAGAAAAGGGCATACAGAAAGGGACACAAATGAGCTGAGTTAAAGCCGAGAAAGAAGGTAACAGACTTGGAAATTTCCAAGAGAAAGTCAGAGAGCGATGCTGTAGTATTCATTATAGATGAGAAGCCTCAGATTTTACATTTTGCCCAGTTACTGGAGATCCTGGAAGAATAGATGGTCAACTTAAGTAGCTCAGTGGAGATTCTGGGAGGTCAGCTATCTGTCTTTGTTTGAAGTATTGCTAGATGTGTGTGTGACACAGAAGCATCTATTTAGTGTGTATTCAACAAAGTTTATGCTTTCCTTTTCATTGCTTTGCTCCTAAAAGCAGCTACCTAACCAAAGGTTATATTTCCCAGCTCCCTTACATCTGGACAAGACCAAATAATTGATCAATGAAATGTTAAGGCAAAGGGCTGGTACCACTTTGGAGCTAGAGAAGGTAAGAGAGTATACTCTTTCCACTGTTTCTGGGGCACTAGATGACAAGTCCATATGAAAAGAAACTGAGGGGCTGGAGATGTAGCTCAGTGGCGCCGTGCCTGCCTGGTAAGCACAAGGTCCTAAATTCGATCCCCAGTACCAAAAAAAAAAAAAAGACTGAGCCCCTGGCCTACCACATGGAACAAAGTCAACTGCTAACTGAAAATACTCATACCAGACTATTATGTGATTAAGAAATCAACTGTTGTGATGTCACTGAAACTCTGGGACTATAGTAACTAGCACTATTCTAATACAGGCACAGATTAGGACTGTGCAGAGAATAGGAGCCAAAAAGATAACTTTAGTATAAAGCTTGCCAAAAAAAAGGACAAATATATGGTATTGAATCACATACCTCATATTCTGGTCCAAAGCCAACATAACCACAGAACCGTCCAGAAAGTCTCCAGAGGTAAGGGATTCCACCAAAGAGAAGAATAAACTATAAAACAAAGCACAGTATGGTCACAGTTGAACAGTACTAGAAACCACTGAGATATTAAATTTAGTTTATCAAGACATTTTTACCTGTATATTATATTTGAGTGAATTGTACAGTATGTGATTTATATCTTAATAAAAGCTATTTTTTTAAAAAAAGAGAATCTTACTTGTTAAAAGTAAATAAATTGATCTTATAGAAAAGAGTAGAGAATAGAACAGTGGTCACTAGAGACTGGGAGGGGCTGGTGGGAGGAATTAAGAGAAATAGGTTAAATAATGAGTATCTAAATAGTGTTAGGGGGAATTAGTTGTGTTCTATAGCAAAGTAGGATAAATATAGTATACAACAATTTATGATACAGTTAAAAATAATTGTGAGAGTCCAAAGGTTCCTAACATATAAATGATAAATGTTAGCTGAGTATGGTGGTGCAAACCTGTAATCCCAGCTACTTGAGATGCTGAGGCAAGAGCTTTGCAAGTTTGAGGCCAACTTGGGCAACTTAGCAAGACTGTCTCAAAATGAAAAATGGTGTGGTGGTGGTAGTGCAGCGCTTTTGCACGTGTGTAAGTGGTCAAACCCTTCCTTAACAGTGAGGCACCCAGGGTGCCTCGGCATCACAGGGGATTGTAAAGGGCTGATCAATTGCCACTGAACACAATCAAAACAAAACAGGAAGATGGCAGCAAATCCTTCAGGGCAAGGCTTTAAAAAAAAAACCAGAGCTGTAATCTTGGCAGAACTGGATAAAGAAAAGAAAATTACTGAAGCAGAGCTAATCAACAAATCATCCTGGAGCTGGCATTGGACGCTCTAGACCTTCTCTTAATAAGTACTTCATGGCCTGGGGCTGTAGTTCAGTGGCACTGTGCCTGCCTGGCAAGCGCCAGGTCTGAGTTCAATTCCTGGTACCCCTCCCCACAAAATAAACAAAAATAAGGACGTCATGCTGAGCAGCAGCATATTGCAGCCCAATAAAAGGCAGCTTTGCAACACGTTCATGCACATTCATCTGGATCTTCATAATTCAATTCTGTATTTGGGAATCTTAACTTTTCCCATTTTACCTCGCCTTGACCCAGAATGAAGAAGATGTCTGTGGTGAAATTGACTTTGTAATTTCAAATGCCAAAGCTACTCTTATTCACTGCTGCACCAACTGTGACTTACAGAATTCTGATGAACTAACATTCTTTGCTTCTTTCAGAAAAAGGAATATGTAAGTGAAACCAAAAAGAAGGGGAACCAGTATGATGATGAGAGCTTTGGAAGCTTTATTTGGAAGCTTTATCATTCAAGGAATTGGTTATGGTGCCCATAAATATAATTTGTTTGTAATGCCATTTGTTTTTTGGGGGTTTTTTTAAGACAAGGCCTTGCTATGCAGTTCAGCCTGGCCTTGAACTCAAGGCAGTCCTCCTGACTCAGCCTCCCAAATGTGATTATTGGGATGCACCACCACACCCAGCTGCCATTTGATTTTTAACTCTAAATTGGATAGTCACATAAAATGAGCCTCTAGACCCCACAAGTTGTACTGAGTGGTCCACATCCACAATTTCAAAAACTTGAAATTTATATTACTTAACTTTAAAATTATGTTTTTAAAAAATGTTAACCAATAGGCTTAAATAAGAAATTCATATTTACAGTTTATGGAACTGATGTGATATATCTTTTGAGTCAAGTCAGAATATCATTTACATATCTTCCCAAAAGAATTAAAAGCATCATACCACAGCAATATATGCACACCCATGTTTATAGTGGCCCAGTCTGTAATAGCTAAATCTTGGAAACAGCCCAAATGCCCATCAACTGATGAATGGATAAAGAAGAGTTGAGGTTTTTTCTATAATAGAAGACTACCCTGCCATAAAGAAGGATAAGCTTGAGACATCTCTAGCTAATGGATGCACCTTGAGACCATACTATTAAGTAAAATAAATTGGACACATGTTTAAATACTGCATTGTTTCTTTGGTGTGAGAAACCAAAAGTGAAAATAAGGACCAAAATGTGTAATAGATACTGGGAAATGAGAAGAAAATGGTCAAATAAGAAGAACAAAGGAGAGGGGAAGGAAAGAAGAGACAAGGAAAAAAAGAGAATAAAAGGAAAATATGGCTTTTGTAAATAAGGAGAGGAAGAGTGATCAAGGGGAGAGGAGGGGAATGAGAAAAAAAGAAGAATCAAGATATATCAGGGCTGGGGATTTAGCTCAGTGGTGCTGCTGGCTGCCTCACAAGGTCTTAAGTTTGATCCCTGGTACCAAAAAAAAAAGATATTATCATGTACAGGTACAAATTCCCTATGATGAATGTTATCATTACATATATCTAAAATGTACCAATAAATGTTTTGCTAAAAAAATCATCCAGAAATATTCTTTGTGAATTCCTAGTTATAATTTTCAGTTAAAAAAAAACCTCAAGATAAAACTAAATTACTAACCAGTTTTTAATCTTTTATAAACAAATAGCACTACAAATGATGTAACTAAATGCTATTAAAAACAATGATAAGAAAAAAAACAATGATAAGAAAAAATGAAAAAGTTGGATGTGATAACACATGCCTGGAATCCCAGCCCTTGGGAGAGTCTCCATGAGTTTGCCTGGGCTACATAGTGAGTTCAAAGCCAGTCTTAACTATACAGTGAGACCTTATCTCAAAAAACAAATTAAACAAAACAAAAATCCAAATGAAAATGAAAAGGGCTAGTGATATATAGCTCAGTGGTGGGTTCAATCCCCCATACTACACTTAAAAAAAAGAGACTGAGAAAGGAAAAAAAAAAAAGAATTGCTCAATGTTTGAGGAGATGGAAATTCTAATTATTCTAATTTGGTCATTAGACATTGTATACACACATAAAATAATTATGCTATATAAATATGTAAAATATTATATGCCATTTAAAAATTTTAAAAAATAGGAGGAGAAATGGGTAGAGATTAGTTAGCAAGTATAAAATTGAAGTTAGAATAAGTTCTGGTGTTCTTTTGGAGTTAATAATAATGTATATTTCAAAATAGCTAGAGTTTGATCCCTGGTACCCCACCCCCCAAATAGCTAGAATAAAAATTTTTTAATGCCCTTATCACAAAAAAGATAAATGTTTGGGCTGGGGATTTAGCTCAGTGGTTTCACTGCCTGCTACACAAGCGCAAGGACCCAAGTTCGATGCCTGGTACCAAAAAAAAAAAAAGATAAATGTTTATAGTGATGGATATGCTAATTATACTGATTTGGTCATTACATAATGTATACATATATTAAAAATGTTATACCCCACATATACATACAATATTATGTGTCAACCATAAATAAAATGTTTAAAGTAAATAAATAAAAATTTTTTGCCAAGAAAGCACATTAAAAGCTTTATGAATCAGGAACTAAGTTTAAACAACATAGCCCAAATCCCACAGCTAATGAAAGAAAGAGATAGAATTTGAACCAGACTATGTGGCCCTCTAAGCCTCTTTTCCATGAAAGTAAATGGTCCTTTTCAGTTAGGATAAAGTATTAGGTTTTTTTATTCTTGCTTTCTTTTCTTTCTTCTTTCTTTTTAAAGACAGGGTCTCACTATGTTGCCCGAGATGGTCTCAAATCCATGGGCTCAGGTGTAGTGGTGCACCCCTGCAATCCCAGCACTCTAGAGGCTGAGGCAGGAGGATCACTGGGAGTTCGAGGCCAGCCTAGACTGCATAGTGAGTTCAAGGCCAGCCCAAACTACACAGCGAGACCTTGTGTCAAAAAAAAAGAAGAATCAAATCCATGGGCTCTAATGATCCTGTCTCAGCTTCCCAATTGCTAATGTATAGGTGTGCACCACCACGCCCAGCTGAAGTATTAGTACTGATATAGAAGTGGAGAGTCAGGTCCACTCACCAAATTGTGTAGCAGAATGAAATATCTGTGCCTTCGCCAGTTAGACAAAAGTGAATCCTGAGGTAGGAGTCAGGGTTTCATATGAGGAGGCCCTTTCCTCAGCACCACCCCTTATCTTGGGCAGCTAGAGTGAACACAGACATTCACCAAATCACCAGAACATAAGAAAAACAGAAGGAGCTCAGAATGTGAAAAGAAAGAACACTTAAAAACCTCTATTTCCAAACTGGGTGCCATGATGCATACCCATAATCCCAACACTCTGGAAGGCTAAAGAGGAGGATCATAACTTCAAGCCCAGCCTGAGCAAGTTAGTGAGACCATGTCTGAAAATAAAAAATAAAAGGAAAAAATAAAAAGAGAATGGAAGGAAAAAATGCAAGCAAAGCTTGTGTAAATGAGGAGGGGAAGAAGGGCTGAAGAAAGAGGAGAATGGGAAAAAAATAATTTTTTAAAAAACAGCAATAAATAATAAAAAAGTACTAGAGATACAGCTCAGTGTGAAGGACCCAGGTTCAATCCCCAGAACTGCAAAAGGAAAGAAAAGAAAAGAAATTTTATTTCCAAGTAACCTACTTCCAAAGGAAATACCAAGTTTGTGGGACTTATTTTGTCAAGAGAAATCATTTTATTTTTTCTCAAGGTAGGACCTAGGAAAACAATGATCAATCACACTCCATGGTTAGAAGCACTAAATTTCTACTGGTTCAGAAATGATCACTCATGGCTTGAGGGTTTGCTTTTTGTTGTGTTGTGTTGGGGAGCAAACTCAGAGCCTTGAATATGCTGAGGACATGTTCTACCACTGACCTACACCTCTACCCCTGGTTTGAGCATTTGGACATTATCATATCTCATGGGTAGCCTTAGAATCTTCTTTCCATCTTTCCATCTTTGAATAACAGTGTCTTATGTATTTTAAGGACTGTACATAAATGACATCATACTGTATGCATTATCCCACAACTTGATTTCTGAACTTTATTTTTTTAGATCCTTCCATGATGATCTTTATTTGGTATTAATAGCTTATTCTCTAAAGTGTTTATACTAAATTACCTTCACCAGCAGTACCTAAGTGTTCCTGTTTCTCCTCAACC